TTATGGTTTCTTCCTTAACAGATCACTTAATTGTAAATGCCAGAAGATAGCACAAAACCGCAATTTTGAAAGAATTTGGCAAATTTTGAGTATTGATCCCAAGCATATAAAATTGACATCGTAAACAAAATTCAAAATGTTTGTTGGAAGTAAAGCTATGTATTGTTTTTAGAATACACATTAATTAGTTTTAGTCAGTTTTGTTTTTCAATGCAAAATTGACAAAAACACGTAAGATTGGCAATTTTGTATCGAAATGCCGTCAAAAGCAACATGTAGTGCTAAATAACATTTTGATTAAATGTTATTATATAAAATTGTTGCAATCATTTAAATTATATGGTATCTTTAATATTCTATATCAATTTCTATAAGGATTTATATACCTTTAAATCTTGACCCTGCGAGTATAAAAAATAAAATAAAGGGGAAATTAACTCATCCTCTTTCGTTAGTTCATTCAGTGACTACTTCATACATTTTATTAAGGTTGAATGAGCGGACTTATGGGACGAAATAGTTATCTGGCAAGTTACATTTTAAAGTGGTTTATTATGATTTTTTTTCTTCTTTATGTTAAAAGTAGTGAGTGGATGATAAAGATGGCGAAGTTAAGAGATAACATATCTATAGATGTTCTTGATAGGAACTTCATATGTAAAAACATATGGAAACATTATGGCTATGCTTATTCTTTAATTTTTAATCAACAATCAATTATTAGACATTAAAAAGCAAGGTGCAGTTGAATAGAAAGTCGGTCACAGTCACACAATACTTGTCATAAGGAAGTCGAAAAGGAAAATATGGCCTAATTATTGTCCATCAAATATTTTTTAATACTCGTCGGAACTTAAATATAAATTTTGTTTTGTATTCACACTACCAAAGAAAAATTAGAATTACCTGACTCTCACAAACGTAAGAGATACTAGCAAAAATGGTCTGTCATTCCATTTATAATGAATTCCAGGATAACACCACGTAGCCTTTATAATTTACACCGTTACAGGGTTGAACGTGCTGCCTAAGATAAAATTTAACCTTAGATAAATCGAATTCGAATCTCCAATTTTTCTTCCTAGCATCTGAGCTTCTAATCACGTTAGACCAAAACTGCTATCTAAAATATTTGTATTTGTTCATGCGTGTATACTTATGATACTAATTGTAATGCTTTTTTGTTATTTAATGTTATTCAGGGTTATATCTGGTCTATATACCAGCTTTGATAAGTTTTTGGTATTACTATAAATTTTCACTTCGTACTATGAACATCAAAATTATTTATTTTGTAAAAATATTTCCTTTCTCTATTTGAACTGTACACGTATACCTAACAACAAAATTATTTTCATTTACCTGTGTTTAAAGTAATTGTAAATGGCTGACATTTTTGTTCCAGCATATTGTTTTTCTTAAATTGTTTAACATTTCGTAGCGGTATAACATGTTACATTTATTATTCTTCCCTTAGTTTATTATTTTGGTATTTACATAGTATCATAGGTCAAATTTATTTGTTCAGTGTAAGTTCACTGGTGTTAATATGTCCTTTGATTGAGTTAAGCTATTTCAGTTGATATTTTATAGTGTGTCTTTCTATGTTGTGATGTTACACAATTGTTTCAGCAAAAGGGTGAAGGTTTGCTACCATTAAAACATTTAAACCCGCTGCAATTGTTTGCACCTGTCCTAAGTCAGGAATCTGATGTTCAGTAGTTGTCGTTTGTTGATGTGGTTCATACGTGTTTCTCGTTTCTCGTTTTTTATATAGATTAGACCGTTGGTTTTACCGTTTGAATGGTTTAACACTAGTAATTTTTGGGGATTTTATAGCTTGCTGTTCGGTGTGAGCCAAGGCTCCGTGTTGAAGACCGTACTTTGACCTATAATGGTTTACTTTTATATATTTCGACTTGGATGGAGAGTTGTCTCATTGGCACTCATATTACATCTTCTTATATCTATTATGTGTGTATGTTGACAACCTTCAAAGATCATTCTTCCGAAAGTGTCGGATCAGAACACATATAAACAATAATACACACGTATTATAGTGAACACCACCACAATACGGTAAATACTTGAAGCCAATTCAACCGCGTCTCGTCCATTCTAAAATGCAAAAACATGCAAACCGATGAAATGCGCGGCTGGTTGATATTCAAAGCAATTTGATGTGTGTTAATTGCAAAATCAATCGATCTTTTGGTTTCTTATCCTATGGTCATCTTGTCTTTTTGTTAACACCAATCTTCAACTTTGTCCGTACATTGAAATACTTGAGCACATTAAAGATGCAGTGATCAATACAGCTATCTCGGTTGCAGATATCCATCTTCAGAATTAATGATTCAATATAAGATGGCGTCCTACGGATTGAGTTCTGCAATTTAGATGTTTATAAACATTCAATAAGATAAATTGATTGGTGTTTTCTTTTCTTTACTCTTTGCATTTATATGATCGATAACAAATTAACAATAAAATAAAATAAAAAGTTAAGTTGGTTAGGTTTAAATCCAGAAAAGCACTTCAGACGCATATAGAATTGATAAAGTGTCGTTTTCCTCTTCTTTTTTTTTATATCGACTTCTAGTACAGAACTATATGCATAGGGAACACAGTGAAGGATGCAAAACATAAACGCTTTCTTCTTGCACATTTGAAAAAACAGTTTTTGCGATACCGAAAAAGAATCAACTGCAACATTGAAGTTTATCTGTCTTTTAGAATAACTAAATCATGATGTTCATAGTACGAAGTGAAAATTTTTAGTAATACCAAACACTTATCAAAGCTAGTATATAGACCAGATATAACCCTGAATAACATTAAATAACAAAAAAGCATTACAATTAGTATCATAAGTATACATGCATGACCAAATACAAATATTTTAAATAGCAGTTCTGGTCTAACGTGATTAGAAGCTCAGATGTTAGGAAGAAAGATTGGGAATTCGAATTCGATTTATCTAAGGTTAAATATTATCTACGGCGGCACGGTCAACCCTTTAACGGTGTAAATTATAAAGGCTGCGTGGTGTTATCCTGGAATTCATTATAAATGGAATGACAGACCATGTTTTGCCAGTATCTCTTACGTTTGTGAGAGTCAGGTAATTCTAATTTTTCTTTGGTAGTGTGTATACAAAACTTAATTTATATTTAAGTTCCGACGAGTATCAAAAAATATTTGATGGACAATAATTAGGCCATATTTTCCTTTTCGACTTCCTTGTGACAAGTATTGTGTGACTGTGACCGACTTTCTATTCAATTGTACCTTGATTTTTAATGTTGATTAAAGATTAAGGAATAAGCATAGCCATAGTGTTTCCATATGTTTTTACATATGAAGTTCCTATCAAGAACATCTACAGAAAATTATCTCTTAACTTCGCTTTCTTTATCATCCACTCATTACTTTTAACATAAAGAAGAATACAAATCATAATAAACCACTTTAAAATGTAACTTGCCAGATAACTATTTCGTCCCAAAAGTCCGCTCATTTAACCTTAATAAAATGTATGAAATAGCCACTGATTGAACTAACGAAAGAGGATGAGTTAATCTCCCCTTTATTTTATTTGTTATTCTCGCAGGGTCAAGATTTAAAGGTATATAAATCCTTATAGAAATAGATATAGAATATTAAAGATACCATATAATTTAAATGATTGCAACAATTTTATATATTAATAACATTTAATCAAAATGTTATTTAGCACTACATGTTGCTTTTGACGGCATTTCGATACAAAATTGCCAATCTTACGTTTTTTTTTGTCAATTTTGCATTGAAGAACAAAACTGACTAAAACTAATTAATGTGTATTCTAAAAACAATACATAGCTTTACTTCCAACAAAAATTTTGAATTTGGTTTACGATGTCAATTTTATATGCTTGGGATCAATACTCAAAATTTGCAAATTCTTTCAAAATTGCTATCTTCTGGCATTTACAATTAAGTGATCTGTTAAAGAAGAAACCATAATATTGTCAAAACTTGAAAGAACACACATTGGGCTGTGTTGCTGTGAATTTTAGTTAAGATAGAAATTCTTTTTGACAATAACCCTGGTGTCAAACAAATTCAGGGAAAACTGGCATGAAATTTTCTAAAGAAAACAGCGGGGAGTTTATAGAAAATTTCACATCAGTACCGAAGCACTGGCTACTGAGATTTTGATACACTTGCGGATTAAAATTCCACAAACAGTGGTCTCGACCCAGTGCTTATAAATGAAAATAACACGTTGTAAATGTCGTACACAAACTGACATACATGTATAGTTGTTGTATGGTTGAGGTATGCAAAGTATGATAGCATAATGTTTATTCTTCTTGATGCACTTCTGTTTATGGTAGAATTTCAATTTCAGCCTTAAGTGCTACTTATACGCCAAAATGTCGTGATGTTGGGTTGATTGGGTAAGTGATGCGATATAGCGCACGTCTTTATGAAAATGGAAAAATAATGTCGATGAATCAATGGCAAAACACTTTCTAGTCACAGTTTTTGGATTCTTTCAATTGAGTTATCAAACTCCTTTATAATTTTGAGCTGATTGCATTTAAGGATTCAAAATAATCAATATATTGTCGATGCGCTAATCTTTTGACTCAAATCTCTGTTTGTTGTGTTTAAAAATGATTACGTACAAATACGTAATTTAGATACTTTGACTATACTTACATGTAACCATAGTTATTTCTTTTGTGTTTGTTTTTCGTAAGTATAGAGATCATTGTAATGTTAGACCATCCACTATAATTCATTCACCGAAAACTTCCGTATCTTATAAAAGTAGTAATCAGAGAAACTGACATCGCCATTGAAAAAAATCCCCCCCCCCCCCCCCAAAAAAAAAAATCGAAAGCTTTTACAGCTTACTAGTTCAGGACTTTAACATTACCGGGGCCTTTTAACGCTTCCTATACGGTATGAGTTTGGTAGATGGGTTGCTGTCTCATTGAATGAAAATAATGCCCACAGTTACTAAAAGTACGATTATTATTTACTTACTGATCATGCTGATATCAAATGATGCAGTCCTGCACTCTAATGTCGGCGTCCGTCCTCAGACAGTTCTAATACAGCAATGTCGTAAGCACTACAGGACGACACGATTATATGGGCAATGTGTACAATTTTAGTGAGAAAAAACAACAATAAAGTAATGACTTAATTTCAATAATTTCAATAATCCACCACCAACAAAAATTATACAATTACTTCTACAACTACTTCTACTACTATTAATACTAATAATGTAATAACAATAGTAGTAATACAGGCATTTATTTCAAAACACAATTTTGTGTATAAGTATTTTGATTCGCCCGTCGACGACTTGATGTATTATGGTATATCAATGTCCGCGTGTCCACCAACACTTCGTACGATTACTAAAATTTGCTTTAACCAATTCTCATATCACTGCAATTGACGGAAGAAAGCTCCCTGTATATTTTTTATATTTTTTGATTTGTCATTCCAGAGTTACGGAACTTTTGACTCTTAGATTTTCACAAATCGAGCATTATCTCCAGAATTCCTAAATTTATTTCTTCCAAACTTTACATTATTGTGGGGATTGAATAAAGTAAGCTCCCTTGGGATTTTTTTTAATTTTATGGTTTGTCATTCCAGAGTTACATGTACTGAACTTAAACTGATACATTTAAGGCATTTTTTCACAAATCGCAGTATTCCTGGATAAACTTGTTTTTATTTTTACATTATTCTTGAGATTGACGAAAGGATGCTCCCTTTTGATTCTATGAATTGTCCGGTTTGTTGCTCTAGAGTTATGGGACTTTAATTGTCAGATTTCAGTTAATTGTTTACATATTGTACCATGATAACTTAGTTTTCTATGATTGATTTATTAGAGACTTTTGGCGCAGCTGTTTATTTAAATAAGTTGTTGCATGACTATAAGAAAGAAAAACTAAGGCTTAATTGTGAACTTCTTATGAGATCAAATACTAAAAAAAAGACTAAAAGAGTAAAAGAACCACTACTTGAGTTCTCCTCCGCTTGTTGTGGAGTTTCTCTTCACAGTTTTTAGTTTTCTTTGAAGTATTTGTCTTTTCATTGTTTATCTGTTTGTAATGTTGTTGTCTGTTATTTCCACATAATTGTGATTTTTTATACACCTCCTGTTTTTTACAAATATTACACACATTTAATATTGTCTAAACGTTACGTACAACATGATGTAAAATATGTTGTTAGAAAGTTTGATTCGAATAAAGGCTATTTAAGGATACATCTGTATATCAATAACCGATCTTATCTCTGATTACATCTTGTATTGGGGTCAAAACTATCTCAACATGTCCATAGTTTCACCTTTTCTATGTATTCTGAGTAAGTAGTTTGTCTTCTTTTGCCTTGGCCAAATCGTTTAACAGCAGCAAGTTTGGTTGGAACTACATGTAGATCATTTCAATTCTTCGCGCTCCGATTTAACCCGACTCATCCGTAGTTTGAAGCATAGGTCGCTGAAAATTCAACTGTTACTGAGTTATAAATGTTTCATTTAAATTGTAATTTTCTGAAAGATTCTGGGATGTCTTGATCTATTGATAAAACGCGATCGGGACATTCTGTTGTTATTTTCATTTTAAACAATTTATGTTTCAAAGGGACATTCAAACTCATAAGTATAAAAATTAACTGACAACGCCATTGCAAAGAAAAAGAAAGACCAGGGAAAGCAGATCCTGCTTCACATGTGGCACCCGTCGTTTTGCCAATGAAAGTACAAACCCGAAAATAAGTCTAATTCAATAGGTCAAATTCGGGGAACAGGAGGACGGGATAGTGAGTGGTAAATCTTATTTTCAACCCACGTTGTAAAATTAGGTAGGTAATATATTGTTGCAATCGTGGTTGGGCGTGTTATTAGATATAAGAAAATGTGGTATGAGTGTCAATGAGACAACTCTCCATCCGAGTCACAATTTGTAAAAGTAAACCATGATAGGTCAAAATATGGCCTTCAACACGGGAATGCATTGTTACCTGAATATCTGACTTCTAGTTCTTCTAGAATAAGCTTATAACTCTGGGAGAAACAATCCGTAGTGTTCAAAGCTTGGAATAGAAGGTATGCTCTTTCTGGTTCCTGTCTGGTTCCTCGTTTTAGATATATGCCTTCTAATTGCGTTTTCCCTATATATATAAAGCGAGGCTCTTCCTGCCTGGTTCCCGGTTTCAGATATCATATTCCTCCTGTGTTGGAGAACCACTGAAGCAGTGTATCAATCATCCAACGGCACCACAATATAAACCTTTATAAATTATATATTTTCCAGTGCTATTGGGTGGTTATAAAGCTGATATTTGTGAGGATATTGACTCAACTTTCTGTCAAGGGATCAAAACTAACAGACCTGACATGTGTAGTAATGCATGTATTTCTACTGTATGTAAAAGATCATGCGGTCTTTGTCGTAAGTTTACAAATAAAATCGCTCATATCCAATAGAAAACAAACAATTGGGGATTTTCTGTATAAATTTCAGATATTTCCCTAAATACTGGAAAAAAACTAGTGAGAACATAATTATGTGCTAAACGCACGTGTTTTGTGTACTTAGTATAGAGATAGTGCAGATTAAAAGGCACTACGGCGGGGGAGGATTAGACAAGGATATGATGATTTCGCCTCAAATTTAGAAGAAGAAACATCTTTTTCTCTATGCACTTAATAGACGTTTGTCAAACAATACTATATTGAATGACTTAAACAAATGTTAGAGATATCATCTGTTTATTATTGCTTTGGTTTTTAATTTTCATTTTATAACGCATAGTTATCCAACATGACAGTGTTAACGCAAACATATTTTTCTTTTTTGTGCATTGAATCTTTGTAACATCGGTTCCCCTGAACATTAAATTGAAGCACGTAAATTAAAAATTCATTTAATATTCAAGATAAAAAAAAAGGCGATGTGGTACATTGTATGAATGCCAATGAGAGATATATATAGATTATAACATGGTATTTTTCATATCAGACCCCTTATCAGCCCTAGGTCATGATATCAGCTCGAGAGCCGACAGGCTCGAGGGATGATTTTGACCATGGACTGATAAGGGGTCTGATATGAAAAATGACATGTTATGTTCTTTTTATCATATACTTCAGCAGAAGACATACAGACAAAAACTATTTTTAAAACTTTGAAAAAATGCATTTGTTGTAATATTTGTTTTGCATTTTTTAATAATATATTTTCTTGATTCCTAATATTTTTTTCATCCAACTTTGTTATGTTTTACACAAAATACGTACCATTGATGTGTATTTTCCGGAATTTGCCAAATGACTTCGAATTGTCCTGCGATAACGTTACAGAAAAGCATGCGCTAATAACCGGAAAGCAATTGATATTAAACGGAAGCAGTTGATATAAACCGGAAGCAGTTGATAACAAAAGTCATATCACACGGCTAAAGCAATTCTTCAAATTTAATGAATAAATATAATGTACAAATTAGTTTTATCATGGGGTACAATTATACCATTATTTTCTATAAGTATATGATATTTATAGATTATAACATGGCATTTTTCATATCAGACCCCTTATCAGCCCTAGGTCATGTTATCAGCCGGAGCCGACAGGCTCGAGGGATGATTTTGACCATGGGCTGATAAGGGGTCTGATATGAAAAACGACATGTTATGTTCTTTTTATCATATACTTCAGCAGAAGACATACAGACAAAACTATTTTTAAAACTTTGAAACAATGCATTTGTTGTAATATTTGTTTTGTATTTTTTAATAATATAGTTTCCTGATAATTAATATTTTCTTTGTCTCCAACTTATGTTATGTTTTACTAAAAAAACCGTACCATTGAAGTACATTTACCGGAATTTGCCGAATGACGTCGAACTGTCATGCAATAACGTTACAGAAAAGCATGCGATAATAACCGGAAGCAGTTGATATGAAAAAGAAGCAGTTGATATAAACCGGAAGCAGTTGATAACAAAAGTCATATCACACGGCTAAGGCAATTCTTCAAATTTGATGAATAAATATAATGTACAAATAAGTTTTATCATGGGGTACAATTATACCATTATTTTCTATAAGTATATGATAAATATAACTACCACACACAGAGACCGACAGAAGGACGGGGATGTAAGCCCACTCTTCAACAATGATCATATAGTATAGTTAACTATAAAAGGCCCCAGCATGACACAATGTGAAACAATTCAAAAGGGAAAAACGGGAATACAAATTAAGGTTTTGTTACACTTGCTGTAACTGAGATGATCAATGTCTAAAATACTACTTTATTTGTACAGTATATGATAGGATATCAAATCAAAAACCATAGTGTGAATTTAAAAAGAATACAATTCAATATATCTGAGGGATTTCTTTAGACACAAGCTTATATTTTATCAGCTTTGCAGTGTTATTCCTATTCTGATATAGACGACGTCACATCATGTAATACAATACAGATATGTCCAAATTCTGATGATGTAAGTACAAACTATATTTTGTCTCTAGCTGGTACATGCCCATGAAGATTATCTCCAGGAGTAGTTATAAATTTTAATAGAACTACTTTTTTAAATCTATGACAGTGAATGAAATAGCATGAACTTACATAATATTAAGTCCCCCCAATTCTATGTTTTAGCCTTGATTTAGTTTGGTCAAAAGGTGTTGCTAGTTTCTACCAGAAGGAGGTTTTCAATGCGTTCAAGCAGCATGTGTGGCAACTAACTGGAACAATAGTTTGTTTGGAACTTTTTTTCTAATAATTTTAAACTGGCGTTAAACACACAGTATGAATAAAGATTCTTAAATTGGTAATATTTCTTTCATAATATTTGGTTTGTTAATTTAAACTTTAATTAATTTGTGTTTTTTAGTTTTGCTTTACCACACAAACATTTTCAGATCGATTTAGAGAAACATACCGATTAGGATGTGCCTCGAACAATGTAAGTGCCCTTTTTCAACATAAATTCAGATAATTTTTCCATTTGATAGATATAACAAGATGTGGTATGAGTGCCAATGAGACAACTCTAAATCTACATCATCTATACCAACAGACCATCATACAATATTAATTTTAATTGTGATTAATTATACTTATAGTGAAACATATAAATCACCTAGACAATGTTACGAACATGTGTGTGTGTGTGTGTTTGTGTGTTTAAGGATTGGATAGAACATTTTTCAAAGTGATACGACTATCCTTAAAATTTTGACATGTTGAATTATAATGATTGTTTCAGACTTGCCGTCAATATACTGGTATATCACGCACTTATAGAGTCAATGTTGATGCTGGATGTTGCAATACTGACAAATGCAACAATAAACCTCCAGTTTTACTTCAACTGAAACCAGCTGTTACGCGTTCAATTACAAGTAAGACTTGTAAAAAAAGGCAAGGTTGTTTCCAATGAAAACATATCCCTACAAGACGAACTTAACTGAAACAGAATGAGCACCGATTTTTACGAAAAAGCTTTCGAGTAAAACAGTCATAAGTAATGAAAATTTGAGTGTTCAAATTGTAATCGTGTGAGGTTTTGAAAAGAATCACATAAGCGTTATTTACTAAATTATTTATGAAAAGGAAACAAAATGCACACAATCCTATCTTTATATATAAAAGAAAGACGAAAGTTACCAAAGGGATATTCAAATTCATAAGTCGAAAACAAACTGACCGTATAGCAGACTATACGGTATTGGTTTTCAAACTGTTGAAGGCCGTACGGTTGCCTATAATTGCTTACATCCTCTTCATATGAAATTTGGTAGGTAGTAGTCTCATTGGCAATCATACCACATCTCCTTATTTTTATATTGACAATGACATGACAAAAACCAAATAAGACTAAGAAAATAAAACAATATAAGAAATTCAAATATGTAGAAAGTATTTACATTGTTTGAATACTAAAACAATATACGTGAGCTGTTGTATACCCGTATGTGAAGAGGAAAGATTCGCTACAGGAACAAAAACCAACATGATATTTCAAAATAAAACCAAAATGGAAACGCATATATCAAATCCAATCACGATAAATTTCGATGATAAAACTTAGTAATAAAGGAGCCAATAAAACATATAGTATTTAACGGACCACTGACCAAAGAAAAACTATAAAAGACACACAATAGTCCACGAAACACAAGGCAGAAAACAAACGCAAAACCAAACTAAAACCAGAATGTAGGCTGATTTCCCTAAAAGGTAAACAGTATCTGTTGTACTATCATCAATTAGTATCCAAGTAACAATTTATAAAAGTAAACCATTATATGTCAAGGTACGGCCTTCAACACGGAGCATTGGCTCACACCGAACAGCAAGCTATAAAGGGCCCCAAACATTACTAGAGGAAACCATTCAATGTATATATGTTTCCATTGAAAGTAAATTCCAGTGACCTATATATTTCTTTGACAATTTGAGTTAAGCGATTGTGTTATATAAAGGCAATGAGCGTTTAACAATAATTTAATCATTGAATTGCAGTTGAACACCTTTAGAACATTTTACGTTCCTTCTTAACTATACATCTGTATTTCATGTAACTTGTTTCTATCAATGTTCTTCAATTTATAATTATCAAAAAGATAAACAATTCCATATATGTTAAAAATGATTTTAAACTGTCTTATAATTTTCTTATCCAGACACAACAGCAAATTTCTCGACTTGCATGGATATTGATCAAATACTATGTAAAAACTTGAATGATAAGCATTCTGAAGTTTGTACGAATGACTGTATTTCTCATCATCTATGTCCAAACGCTTGTTCAAAATGTGGTGAGTAGATCTTACGAAGATGACAGTGGTGGAATCCAAATTCCAAAGACAGGATTTCATTGTTTATTTGGACCATAGATAGATAGATTTATTTGATCAAATATTAACATAAAACATTACAAAAGTAGTACAAAACAATAGCTGACCTGTAAACATACTAAATTCATACAAATCTTAAAACAATTGTTGATACCTAATCAGGATTGCCCATAAAAGCCATACGACTTATTTCCAAAGGATATTTTATGTTACATTCTTAAATTTATTAAATATAGTTATAAGACATCATGACTTTGGCAGGTTTAAAACTAATTATGTTAAAATTATAATTGACGATGACACTGACTAGAATATAGAATATTAAAGCAATTCAATAAAATATAAATTTGCATGCTACCAAAATCGTTGCTATCATTTCATCTGATCGAATTATATATGTTATAAGTTTTGTCCGGAGACGAAAAGTATCATACTGAAAACAGAAGTATACAGGATTAAATTCTCTATAAAAACATTTGATAACGTAAACCAGTATTTTCAATCCTCATATATGTTCAAGAAGTTAAATAGGCATTTATACGATCTTAAAATAGTATAGTCTGAAATAGTGCGGTAGTTATTAAATGAGTATGCTGAAAGTAGTTGTATTCAAAATATACAAATGGCTCTTTAAGCCTATTATTATATTTGTAAGAAAAAAAATGATTTATTTTGTTGAATTTATTTCAGTGCAATGTTTACAGTGCAGTGCTGTATCACATCCTACTGAATGCAAAACAACAACAGTTTGTGGAAAAGGACAGGTATGCTTCATACATGAATTCCGTGTTAACGTCTTAGTGTATGATAATAATTATAATAAAATAATGATTGAGCATATGCTTTAAAGTAATCTCCAGATATTTTTATGTAAACTATCATACTTTTCTACTTATTTTGTAATGATTATGCAAAAGCTAATTTATTATGAATATGCTTTAAGTTAACGCGTTTAATTCAAACAACATTAAAACGGATGGTAAATACAAACAAATTGCTATTCGTACAAAATATATTGTCTCATTACGTATGCAACTTCTTTGTATTCATGTCTGTATGTTTTCGTCGAAGGAATGTTTTGTTACAGAAACATTACAGATGACTTCAACGGGAACTCAAGCACTACAGCTTGGATGTACAAACGAGCAGGTTAGATTATAATATTGTTTTATATTAAGATTTGATTAGATACTTAATAGCAAACAAAAAGGAGATGATATCAATAGGACAAAAGTTATGTTCAAAAGAAAAGCAACGAAGAGACAAATAAATTATGATTTTGCATGATTCAGCAGCACGAATCCCACAACAGCCAAGGTCTAAATTTTAAATGCCCAGAAGAACAAGAAACAAAGTACAAATGTACAAAAGAGAAAGACAAACAAAATCTTATATATGTATTTGACATATTTAATTTCATTTACAGAATTTATTTATCATATCAATATCTTCCTTTGTTCTTTTTTCTAGTTAGCTTTAACAACGAAAATTGTCCAATAATAATGATGGAAAGAATTACGTAACTAAATTTTAACTACATGTACCAAATAATCGGTTCAGTTTCACAAAACTTTATTTTTCAACAAAGCCTATATTGAATATGCACTTTGAGACTTTAGGGATACAAATATTGTTTATTTTTAATATTAAGATCTGTCATCAAATGAACAGCACCCGCCATAATAGTTTGGTACATAAAATTTTTGGAAGACGTCAAGAACAGTTTGTCTTGAGAGGTGGCTGTTGCAAAGGAAATATGTGTAATTCATATTCATTCTTGTTTAACTCACCAAATTCAAGTCCATCCACGGATATTACTAATCTACAAAGTGCGACATATACAAACCAAGGAACTTCACAACACGTTCCATCGTTATCTGGAGTGTCAAAACCTGTTCCGACTAAACCCTTATTGACAACAAAGTCATATTCACTAGGTGACTATATGCATCCTTACATTCACTTAAACACAATGAAACTTTATTCATATCAATTTTATGAGTATGCAATATACTTATATCTGTTTTTTAGCATACAATAAATTCATATCCAATAAGAGAGAAAATACTAAATATCCGAAAAGGTGCACTTGATGCATATTGAAGGTGAACTTGTTCTATTGAATGTTCAACTCAAAAGTCTCCAAACTTTTTTTTATATACTTTGTATCTTATCAACTGGTTTACTATATAGATTGCTCGTCTGCAGTACATGTCAGATGTCCAGATACTTTCTATCCATACCATGGAGCATGCTTTAAGACAGGACCTGTACCACTGACGTACACTGAAAGTAAAGTAAGCAGTTTAAAAGTTTGCCATAAACACTATACTCTTTAATGGAATAAACACATTACAAAGTAGAGTTCCTCTTAAACTAAAATAACGATTAAATATGTTGACAGTTATGTTAATTTCTTGAATTGATAAAAAGATTCATCGGAAGATACAAGACTTTAGTTATCCTTTAGTACACCAACCACATGCGTTTCTTTTACATAAGACTTATCAGAGGCGCACGAATGGTTGTTTGCAATGTAATTTTAAATATCAATATTTATTTTAACACGTAAAAGATCACCTACAATGTAGGACACAAAAATGGAACGATGTATACAAAAGAAGTCCCAATACAACCACAGCTTATTAGACACACAGAAAGGCAATAGATGTCAAGGAATATGTACAAAAGCAGTGGCGGATCCAGAACTTTTTATAAGCCAACCCACTGACTGCCATAAGAGGGGGCCCGCTACAGTCATGCTTTAGTGATTCCCTATATAATCAACCAATTTTGTTCCCACGACCTGTAGTTGAGTCTAGTCTTAATTTAACTGCATTGAAATATCTGAACTAGGTCTGTAGTTGAGTTTAGTCTTGAGTTAACTGTATTGAAATATCTGACCTGTAGTTGAGTCTAGTCTTAAGTTAACTGCATTGAAATATCTGACCTAGGTCTGTAGTTGAGTTTAGTCTTGAGTTAACTGTATTGAAATATCTGACCTGTAGTTGAGTCTAGTCTGCATTGAAATATATGACCTAGATCTGTAGTTGAGTTTAGTCTTGGGTTAACTGTATTGAAATATCTGACCTGTAGTTGAGTCTAGTCTTAAGTTAACTGCATTGAAATATCTGACCTAGGTCTGTAGTTGAGTTCAGTCTTGAATTAACTGTATTGAAATATCTTACCTGTAGGTGAGTCTAGTCTTAAGTTAACTGCATTGAAATATCTGACCTAGGTCTGTAGTTGAGTTTAGTCTTGAGTTAACTGTATTGAAATATCTGACCTGTAGTTAAGTCTAGTCTTAAGTTAACTGTATTGAAATATCTGACCTAGGTCTGTAGTTGAGTTTAGTTTTGATCAGTTAACTGAATTGAAATATCTGACCTGTAGTTGAGTCTAGTCTTAAGTTAACTGTATTGAAATATCTGACCTGAAGCTGAGTCTAGTCTAAAATGTTAGGCCCATCCTTGCCTGTAGTTGACACATACAAATGTCCAACTTTCTTGCTTTGGTCAGGTAATATGTCAACTAAAAATTTCAAACTGGTCAATTTGGTTTAATATTGTTAAGGTATTAAGTGAAGTTAGTTATCTAATCCAAGGTTAGTGCAATATATTACGCTTTAGTCAAGTACAGGTCAGACTGAAGATAAATATATTGTCTCAAAAGCATGTGCTAGGCGGAAGACTGTATAAGTTTGAGTAACTTGTGTCTCATCCCTTTTGCATAATTAAGCAAATAAAATATGTTTAAACTCAAGTGCATGTGAACAGACGTACAGTTTGCATATTAAGTAGAATGTTCAATATACTAGTTTTAGAAGAAAACTATTTAGTAATTCATGATGCGTTGTGCTAAATGAAAACATAAACTCACTTAAATACTGAAAACATAACTGAATAGGAAAAGAGATCTGATTCTGTTGTGATTTAACAAGCAATAAAAAATAAATTGTGATGATTGTTTAGTCTTTCTAACAGACACTAAAGACATAAAATTTCAGCAGAATTATTTTCACCTATTTTTGTATTATAGTACATCTTCATGAAAATTCTCATGTATGGACTTTAGCATTTTGTATTTGTAGGCATACTGTGAGAAACAATGTTTAAGATTGGCTGAATTTGATCGTGAAGCCGAAATGACAGCGGTAACCAGAAATTTCCTTCATCATTTCAATGGTAAGTTTAGAAGAATCTATTTGTCCCCCGAGCAACACGTTGTTGGGGAATTAGAAATACATGCCGTCCGTCCATCCATCCGTCTGTGCGTCCAGTCTCGTAAGCGCTCTCATGTGTATTGCCAGTTTTTTTTATATCAAATTTATATCAAAGGTTTATATCAGCAATGTCTCGGACATTGCGAAAATTAGTGCCGATCAACTATTTTTTAAAGTGTTATGCACCTTTGATATATAATTGATATTAAAAAAATGCTGTATAAGCCCTCTGACATGTACGATTCTTGTCAGATTATTTAAGAAATATATTAAAGGTTTATATCAGCAATGATTTATATAGAAAATTGCATTTAATAAAGCGCTCTCAATCTTACATTTCTCTAATATATTTGTACAAAGTTTTAAAGAAAAAAAGAAAAATGAAAAATAAAAACTTTTGCCCTTGGAGAGATTAAATATGTGCTACGCAAGAGACATTATAACTCTATTGTTCTTTTATTTGTAATAAAAAAGAAATTATTAGACGCAATTAGCCTTTTAGGAAGACAACTGAATAAAAAAAATGTAAATGAGTCAATGATTCACCTAAAACACTCATTAATACATTGTAAGACACCATAATGAAACGAACGTGAATTCAAGAATCGCATCATTGTTTCACAATCTTACTTCAACATTTTAATAAAAAGAAATAAATGTATATCTAAACATAAAATGCATAAAAACTTGAATTTTACTTATATTGTATAACTTTTATCAGGTGCTCCTCTGTATGTTGGTGCTATTAGTAAGACATCTTCCCCAAAGTGGTTATGGGAACGAGGTCATCTGGAAGTTGATGTACTAATGTGGGTACATTATAACGGATACGGAAACTGTGCTGTTACAAGAGAACTGATTACCCATTCAGGAAAACACAGACATTCAGATTTCGGACTTGAAGACGTTAATTGTACACAAAGATTTAAACCCTTATGTCAATTGTTCTTGCGTGTTTCAAATTAAATATGCTGAATTAAACGTCTTGTTGGTATTTTCATTATTTACCTCTGTTATGTTGTGCATTCATTGATAACCACGAATGGCATTCAAAAGGAGGTAGAAGATACCCAGATGCTGTCAAGAACCATTAGTCCCATAAAACCGTCAACAACATTGCCAAAAAGAAAAACGACGAAGAGACAAACAACATTTCATGAAAATCCTTAAAGCAAACAAGAAAAACCGGACTATACGGTATGGTTTTTCTCATTGGTCGTACGTTGACCTATGTATAATTGCTTATATCCACTTATTTGAACTCTAATGGATAGTTGTCTCATTGGCAATCATACCACATCTCCTTATTTTTATATAGATTCAAAAGCACGAGGCCCTTTAAACACTTAGAGAGTGTAAACAGGTGAACTTACTTGCTCTCTCTCTCTCTCTCTCTCTCTCTCTCTCTCCTTCTTCTTCCGGTAAGCGGCCACCGTCAACTGGTTGACTCACATTTTGGAGTGAGCGCATGAAATTTTTGAATTTAATTAACAAAATTGGTGCAATTTAAATTATATATATACAGGTGCAATTAAAAACATGTCATTTAAATTTAATGACGGAGCTGAGCCTTGAAATAATCAGGACTAGGGGCGGAGACAGTACAGTTGAGCAAGGTGTTCCACTCTCTGATTGTTCTAGGATAGAACGACTCCTTCCGTACAGTTGTTTTACATGATGGAATTCTAAATGCCTTTTTGTTGTTATTTCTGGAAGGGCGTTCATTTTGGTATTAGCTTACTGGATGTATCAATTTTGACATAATTGTTCTGTAGCTTATACATCATTATTAAGCGTCTGTGCTTCCTTCGTTCTTGTAGGGTAGAACATTCAAGATGTTCAAGCATGTTACTAACAGATGAGGTGCTGTGATATCTGTTAGTAACATACCTTGCTGTCCTTCTTTGAACCATATCTGTGGATGTCATTTTGTTGGTATGGGTCTCATACTGCACTAGCATATTCTATAGTAGGTCTGACGAGGGACGTGTATACTTTTTCTTTAATTGATTTGTTGGAGATGTTTACATTCCTTTTCAAGAGCTAATGGTGTTGTTAGCTTTGGAGCAGATGGTGCTTATGTGTTTCCCCCATTTAAGATCTGATGAAATAGTGCATCCCAGGTATTTAGCTGATGTTACATGTATACTTGTTCCTGGTTAATTGTCTTGTTCATGATAATTCTGAAGTTATTTTTACGAAATTTTAACGGACGCCAATCTGTTCAACAGTACGGTAGTTTTTTTTTGTTATGGATAACATAAATGTTATACGCTTAAAGAAATATGGAAGTATAAACGAAAAATTATAGATTTTTTTCATAATTTGTCAAAATGTAGTATATAGTGTAATAAGTTTTAAAAGATATCAAAACTAATAGGTCACCAAGGTCTTTTCAAGCTACAGGTTGTGAAACATGACGCATTTTCTATGGATTATACAGGGGAAAACAACATTATGTAAATAGAAGGTAAACTAAATGATAGGTAGACTTGCGAAATAAAATACGAGAAGATAGCTCTTAGCAAAGCCTTTCAGAATATCAAAAGAAAAAAGGGGGTCACAGTACGTTTATTCGTCCTATAACATAAAATAGAAAAATTTCATGCAGATCCCTGTAGAAATTATTATATTATTTTTTAATTACTTCCCCTTAATACCCTTATTAAAAAAATGAAATCAAGCAACCATAACTTTTAACATGTTTAATACTATACAAACTGTAAATTGACAGAACTTATAAATGTGTATTGGATGTAATGAATTGATTTTAAATACTTAATTAGTAGTTAGATCTTTTTTTAAATCCGAAGGCTACTAATAATTGATATATCATAGCCTTAGATGTTTCTCCAAATTACTTTATATGTTTCTTCCTTATCATATGAATGATTATTAATAAGTTTGGAACTGACAGTTCCCGTCCTGGTTCTAGTTACTTATTCTTATGTATCCTACAATGAATACTTATCTACCATCACGATTCAGATCTTATCAAACTGACTTGTAAACATGGTAGCCGTACAATTTATAGGTAAATATTTACATAAAATCGACGTGTTACAAAAGTAAGTACAAACTATTTCAAATCGTAAATGCAACATATCACATGCAATAAGGTTATCTTAACTTTGTAATACATTTATGTCTTCACTATTGCGTGAATGACATGGTTTATTATTTTCAGAGGACTAGTATAGTATCTGAAGATCTAAGACCGCGAAAACATATTTCTAGCGAGTTGAGACACAGACACATTGTATCGGTCAACCGTAAATGCGGTCGAGAACTACAGCCTGAGAAATGATACAGTTGGCACTGTCTTTTTTCAAATCTCACTTCAAAACAAATAAACCTTTAGCATTTAATAGTGAAATTAAAGTAATCCAAAAAAGCTTCTAACAAGCAAAGACAGTATAATGTGTTATTTGATTCAATGAAAAACAGCACTATTTACAAAAAAGAATATATTGTCTAACTTATTTCAGATACTACCTAAATTATGTAAGATCTTTTGAATATTTCTATCAAGTCACGCTATAAACTTAAATGTACCTACTGAAACGAACAAATCTGTAACAAGATTGACACGATGTGTGTTTTGGGTAGATGATTTAACGTGAAATGTTAAAGTCTCTTTTAAGGTTTTATTTTCATGGTTGTGATAGCCATAAAAAGTGTTGGTATGTGTTTAAGATGGAAGGTTAAACCTGATATGTTAAAGTCTCTTTCAGGTTTGATTTTCTTGGTTGTCATGTGCTGGTCAGTGTTTAAGACTGTAGGTTAAACCCGATACGCAAAAGTCTCTTTTATGTTTTATTTTCATTGTCGTAATGGTCGTGACAAATGCTGGTTTGTATTTTACCTAATATGTAAAAAACTTTTTTCAGTTTTTATTTTGATTACCGTGATAGCCGTAACAAATGCTGGTTTGTGTTTTGATAAGGATATTGCCTTGTGTAATATGATGGCAAAGGCTGACCCAAATATGTGCAACGATCCATGTATGGCAAATTTATGTACAAGATTTTGCGGAAAATGTCGTATGTAGTTTTGATAGTTTGATTTTACTTTAACTAAATGTATAATTAACATTTACAAGTATTATAATCGAATGTTTATACGTGAATGCTACGACAACCGTAAATCACACTTGGAAACGAACAGACTTCTAGAATGCTGAGATAGAGTGCTATATACATAAACAAGAATGTACAATACACAACTCTCTTTAAATCGCAACATTGGTCTCTTGGTAAAGTGTTTGCATCCATTGCAGGAGGTCGTGGTTTAATCATCAGCCGGGACAAACACGAGCCTTGAAAATTGGTATTTTCTGCTGCTTCTCCTCTCAGTTCGCGTCTTTAAAGATCAAAGTCAGAAATATAGATTCCAACAATGCATCAAGTGTTTTACGATATTTCTCCACTCGACACAGTTTAATTTTGAAATTCAAAACGCGAGGCTTGCCGTGCTTTTTATATATTAAAAATTTAACTGTTGAGAGTGGAGAAATGTCGTAATACACGAGAAAAAGTGATGGAATCTGTTTCTCTGATGATTTTAAGACGATATCTATACCAGTTTATCCTTCCTTTCCAAAGATTTGCTGAAAGTCTTTATATGTGATATCATTAGGCATGGTCGCCTTTTTTGATGACGTCACGATAGGAAATTCACAAGAAATCAAGAAAATTTTACGTCATAATTGAAATTTCGTCCAAATCATTTGCCGAGAACAGTTATTTCACTAGTGAGAAGAAGAATAATTCACAGTCGGTTGGAAATGAGAAAAAAATGAAAAATTAGAGAATAATGCGTCCATGTAGAGTGACATTAAACTTGCGACCTGTTACCATGTCTTTAAAAATCCTATTATTCAGTATTATCATTAATATGTTTTAATTCTGAAACGACGTTAAATCATCATCAACATCATATCGTCGTCGTCGTCGTCATCGTCATCGTCGTCGTCATCGTCATCGTCATCGTCATCGTCATCATCATCATCATCATCATCGTCATCGTCACCATCATCGTCATCGTCATCATCATCATCGTCGTCATCATCTTCATCGTCATCGTCGTCATCATTGTCGTCGTCATCATCGTCGTCATCGTCATCATCATCGTCGTCGTCGTCGTCATCATCATCGTCATCATCGTCATCGTCATCATCGTCATCGTCATCATCGTCGTCATCGTCGTCATCGTCGTCATCATCATCGTCATCGTCGTCGTCGTCGTCATCCTTCTCCTCCTCCTCACCATCCTCCTCCTTCTCCTCCTCCTCCTCATCTACTTAAAAGGAAAAAAAGACAAGCAGTTAATTGGTATGTACATTTCATGTACTATGAGCAAAAAGTGTGTTTTCTAATTTACTTTGTGCTTTTGTTTGTATTTTTGAGTGAGGGTATAATGCTAAAACCTTAATTCCCCTTTTATCTTGATCACCGGAATAACACAAGTTCTCTTCAACTTGAGTATGTCATAACTTTAAATCATACAGTACCAAAAATTATCTAACATACTAAAATGTAATACGTTTATTAAGTTATCAAATTGTTTGAATTCTATATTTACCGCTTCTATATTTTCAGCATTTATTTGTCACAGTTGTCACGAGGTAGCCGATGCAACGAGCTGTAGACCTATAATACAATGTAACTCAAGTGATGAGGTAAACATTAAAATCAGACATAATACCAACAGCTTCTCTTAGTCAAACATGTATACTGGTAATTACTGTATAATATGAATTTAAATTTTGTTATTTATTGTAGAATGATGAACTCATAAAACACTTTTCCTTTATCAATGATATTATTATGATATATTACTATTAGTATGATATAATTCTGCAGCTATTCTACTTAAATAAAATAGAAGTTTTAATTTGCTCTACTTTGTTTCATTGCAGTACTGTTTTACAGTCCAAACCTTCAACGATCATTTTGAAGAGACATTCAAACTTGGATGTGCGTCAAAACATGTAATTATAATTTTCTTATGAATTAAAGTTAATGTAGAATGCAAGCAACCTAATGAAAAAGAAGAAGAAACAATACATGTAGTCAGAGGCCAACATATGTTTTAAGCAGTAGTAAAATATCTTTATACACATATCGTATGCCTAGTACTTTGAATGTAAATTAGTGTCAGCGTACATGTAAATTGCAAACATTTAAATGTCGATACGTATATGATTTAAATACATGTACACGAATGTTGTTGTAATATTGAAAATTTCAAGAGCATGACAATGACAATAATAAGGAATCTTTTTTCCATTTTCAATATTTAATAATATTTATGTTAACAAATATTTCCAGACTTGAACTTCGAGCTATACAAATTTAACATATGTTAAAGTTTATCCTTCAATTTAACAGACATTGTGGCACTCTCGTGGGTACGTTGTCGCCACAGCGCTTGCTATCGTAAATTTCGTCAAGAAACGGAATCATACAAATATAAAAAAAAAAAAAACAGCCTGAAACTGTTATTGTCTGTATCTCAACCAAGTAACCTTCGCTGTTTAATAGTAAGATAAGAGAATGATCAGGTCAAGATCACAATACTGTGCCAATGTTATATATTTTACCGACCCGAATATGCATGTAGTATTTGCCGATCACAACTAAACAACGTCAAATCAATCAAACATTGTTATTTATATGAAGATTTTGAACGTTAGTTATTTGGAATGGAAATGCAAGATGATCTTTTTCAAATTATTTGGAATATATTAAGAACACCAATGATACTGCGAACTTTATATGATCAGGCTACAGGTTTATACGTGTTATACCGATACTCCGAGATTTGCATGATTAAGCTACATGCGAGGATATCCATATATTATCGATACTTTGATGTTTACATGATTTGGCTATAGGAGGAGGCATTCGTGTCGTATATATACTTAGAGTTTTACATGATTAGGCTATTGGACGAGGCATTCGTGTCGTATAGATTCTTCGGGATGAACATAATGGCCTAAAGGAGGAGGCATTGGTGTCGTATCGATACTCCGCGATTTGCATGATTAGGCTACAGGAAGAGGCATTCGTGTAGTATCGATACTTCGAGCTTTACATGGTAAGATACAGGAGGAGGCATCCGTGTCGTATCGATACTTCGAGCTTTACATGATTAGGCTACAGGAGTAGGCATTCGTGTAGTATCGATACTTTGAGCTTTACATAATTAGGCTAAATGCAGTGTATACGTGGAATACCGATACTTCGAGATTTGCATTATTAAGCTACAGCTAGCATGCAGGCGTGTGTATTCATAAAGTATCGATAAGTCGAGCTATTCATGATTAGGCTACAGGAGGAGGTATTCCTGTCATAATGATACTTCGAGCTTTACATAATTAGGCTACAGGAGAAGGACAACAATCGTGTCGTACCGACAATCCTACATTGGCATGATCAGGATTCAGGCAGAGGACAATCGAGTCGTACCGATACTTCAATGTTTACACGATTAGACTACAGGCAGAGGACAATCGAGTCGTACCGATACTTCAATATTTAAATGATTAGACTACAGGCAGAGGACAATCGTGGCGTACCGATTCTGCGAGAATTACATGATTAGGCTTAAGAAGAGGACAATCGTGTCGTAACGCCACACCTAGTTTTCTTACTCTGCCTATCTTTATCTACAAAAAAACGTTGTGAAGTTAAGTATACCATGCTTGTTTTCTTTATAGACATGTTTACAATACTCATCGATTTCTCACACCAAAAGAGTGAGCATTGATGCGGGATGCTGTAACACTGACCAATGTAACAATAAACCACCATCGTTACTTCATATTGGCAATACAACAACACAGTCACCAGCTGGTGGTAAATATATTCCAATAATCTGTATCTAAATTGTTAAACTACATGTATAAAAAAGTCGCAAAAAGGTGGAATGTCTGTCAACATGTCCCTTCATACTACCAGCAACACATTCAACAACAGTTACTGGTTGTATATATATTAGAAAAAAAGGATATAGGGTATCAATGCCACAAAATCATTACATGCACAGCAAAAAACCAACAACACAAAAAGCAAAGGAACAGCGCGTTAGTTGCTGTTCTTCATCTCAAAGTCACAGTAAGGCACACGGGGCAAACACTCTCACCTCTCTGCAAGTTTAAGACTGCCCCTAGCACCAGTTTGAGCGGAATTCTTTGAAAACTTACGATTACGCCACAACTGTTAATTGAGAAACAAAGCCATGGAGTAATATCAATAAAATAAATCTGGTATAATGTTTACTTATGTTTATCTGTAAACTTGTATTTAGTTTTTAGATAAAAAAAATATTTATCTATCTATCATAAGACAGTATCAAACAGAATACGTAATAGATGATCGGGTTGTTGTCTCTTTGACACATTCCCTATTTCCATTCTCAATTATACCTTGAGGGCGTCAGCCCAAACGGGTGTATCTAATTTACACAAAGATATTATTGTCAATGCAGAATGATAGCTTTCAATAATTTAGGAGGGGGTCTTGTCAACGTATATTAATTTTGTTCCGCCTAACAGACGTTCCACTGAAAACGTTGTTATAAACAATGTCATAATATCTGTTCCTGTTTATGCCGTTAGAAACATATATAGACACAAGAAGATGTGGTATGAGTGCAAATGAGACAACTCTCCATCCAAGTCACAATTTGTAAAAGTAAACCATTTTAGGTCAAAGTACGGCCTTCAACACGGGGCCTTGGCTCACACCAAACAGCAAGCTATAAAGGGCCCCAAAAATGACTAGTGTAAAACCATTCAAACAGGAAAGCCAAGGTCTAATCTATATAAAAAACGAGAAACGAGAAACACTTATGAACAACATCAACAAACGACAACCACTGAACATCAGGTTCCATATATCTACTTTCAGCGATTTGACCATATGTAATTGAAAAGCATGATAAATGCAGGCAAGGGTATCCAATTTCATTCAACGACATTTTGGTGTAAATGAATATATTAACATACTTGATAGAATGTAAACAGTAAACTCAGTTACAAAAACGGTGGTATATTTCAATAAAAAAAAGCTTTTTTGTCACCCGGTGTAATTTCTGTAAATTATCAACTTCATAGAACGATGGTTTGAAAACTGAAGCGTCATCGACATATCATGGAATATTCTCGCGAGAAGATTTCAGTTCACTATGCCTTACATCGTCATAAAAATGACTATGAGGTCTCGCCAGAAGATTTCAGTTCACTATGCCTTACATCGTCATAAAAATGACTATGAGGTTATTAAATCACTCGAAACAAGAAAATATCAGTTGTTGTTAATACCTTGTCTATCATTTTTGTAATTTTATTTTGGCTGGAGATTTTTCAGTTGTTTCATTAGAACTGTTTCGTCACAGGTGAATTAAGGAATAGGACACTGTGTGAGAATCTTGCTGATGATGTCTGTGCCAGAATAGCCAAAGTTATACCAAATATGTGTTCTGACAGCTGTATAGCTAACAACATATGTCCACATACATGCGGAAAGTGTTGTAAGTATGGAAATGTTCGCATACATCCGAAAAGTGTTGTCAGTATGGGACTTTCTTATCAGGGCGTTTGAAGCGGTGATTAAAAGAGAATTAATTTTCAGAATTTGTGCTAAAAATGTATTGCTTGAAGAACCTTTGTTTATTGAAGCAGATTTTTCTGTCTGTCTGTTGAATTTTGATTAAAGGATTTAAGTAAAACGGTTGTATTTACTTTCCGAGAACTAGATTGCTAATTTTCCTACCGTTCTCGTTTTAATTAATCGACACACTCTGATAAAGTCAAATAGTAATATAAATCCTTTCCAACCAAAACAATAAACAAGACTAAAAAAAAAAACTATTTTTGGAGTTTTGTAGAATTTGTATTCACTTGAAGTAATGTGTCCGCAAAGCACTAACCGCCATAGGTTCACAAAGCTAGAAAAATAGTATAATGATCAGGATGAATGTTCACGTATTATCTCAAAATTTCATTGAAAGTACTTCAGTCGCACTGTTTAAAAATATAAAACGGTTAAACCTATTGTCAAAAAACACTATCGTTCAATCTCAATGAACATGCCTATTAGGAAAAATATAAACGTACGCTGTCGAAAAACATATTTTTCTACGGTAAGTTGTACTAGTTTTTAAACAAGAAAAAAAGCGAGGCTTGCCAAGTTTTTTCACTGTTCTGTATCAAGTGTAAATATAATTAACATTTTCCGTCAATATGCGTAAAATGTTTATACTGCCATTGAATATTAGGGCTTCTAACATGACGTTCTTCAAACGCTTTGAGTACACACCCGTGGTAAAATATGAATATATTGTTTGGGCTGTTCCGATCGTACTCCCGCGTCATATGCTTTTTTATGAATGAGCTACCCGACGTCATAGAACGATGACGTAAGAATATAAGCATTTTATGGGAAAATACACGCTTGTGAAACCGAAAATCATCACAACAAGGAAACGTAAACAAACGATGCTATAATGTGTTATATAAGCCATTTTTTGTTTACATATGAGACATATAAATACAATTATCATTTAGATTCATCCAAACCTATCTAAATATGTCATTGTAAATAGTTTAAGCATGCCATTTATTCAGTTTGCTCCGTTCTTTTACGTCAATTTAATAGTGCGTTTATTTATGGGAACGGCAAATAATGCCTTTACCTAGAGCGCTTCGATCCAAAAGAATTGCCGTATTTGTCCTATTAGAATCGAAATAATTCATGGGGGCTTGAATATATCGTGATTTTACCACGGGTTGTCCCTTTATGCCGATATTTTACCCTTCGCTATCGCTCAGGGTAAAATATTTGTCATAAAGGGCCAACCCGTGGAAAAATCACGATATATTCAAGCCCCCATGAATTATTTCTTAATTAACTATTAAGATAACTTATTCCTGTCTGTATTTTTGTATAAATCGACATTGTGTGACCGCAGACCCCAAAGACTGTAGTAATGCCGTCAGCTATCTAAAATCATATTATCAATTCAGGTACATTGATATACATAAATGTTATATAATTATAAATAATTGCATTCCATGAATTTATAGATACAATGCATGTAATTCTGCAGTTGACGACTCTTTTATGAAAAACATGACATTATATACAAATCAAACTGTGCCACATATTTGTATAGTACATAAAAAAGAGGCGTTAGCTACCAAGATGCCATTCAAAACTCATAAGTCGAAGAGAAACTGACAACGAAATGGAGAAAAACGACGAAAAAACAATTAGGTCCACAAAATACTACACCGAAAACTATAGACTGAAGAACACAAACCACATCAAACACTACACAAATAACTACAGACTGAGCAACACAAACCACATCAAACACTACACAGAAAACTACAGACTGAGCAACACAAACCACATCAAACACTACACAGAAAACTACAGACTGAGCAACACAAACCACATCAAACACTACACAGAAAACTACAGACTGAGGAACACAAACCACATCAAACACTACACAGAAAACTACAGACTGAGGAACACAAACCACATCAAACACTACACAGAAAACTACAGACTGAGGAACACAAACCACATCAAACACTACACAGAAAACTACAGACTGAGGAACACAAACCACATCAAACACTACACAGAAAACTACAGACTGAGCAACACAAACCACATCAAACACTACACAGAAAACTACAGACTGAGCAACACAAACCACATCAAACACTACACAGAAAACTACAGACTGAGCAACACAAACCACATCAAACACTACACAGAAAACTACAGACTGAGGAACACAAACCACATCAAACACTACACAGAAAACTACAGACTGAGGAACACAAACCACATCAAACACTACACAGAAAACTACAGACTGAGGAACACAAACCACATCAAACACTACACAGAAAACTACAGACTGAGGAACACAAACCACATCAAACACTACACCGAAAACTACAGACAGCAACACAAACCACATCAAACACTACACAGAAAACTACAGACTGGGGAACTCTTTTTAACCAAAAATAACTGCTTGATTTTCCTTATCAGACAACTGCCTGTCATGTGACGAAATCGAATCTCCAGACAAATGTAATACTACAACGGAATGTAACGATGGCAATGTAAGTCCTATAACTCTCTGAAATTTATTACTGGTATTAATATATATATCAAGAGATAAGTTCATATGTCGTTAAATTATCAATGTCACATTGTTTTGTTTTAATAATATAAGTATGTTATTCTGCGTGTTTTGCATTATATATGGTCGATACCCCTGTTGGTCGACAGTCTTTTTCCGAAGGTGTCATCTGATCATTACAGTATTTGGTCAATCTAAATAACTTAAATTTCTGTGTGCAGGACACACGTCTCTGTATTTACATTTGTTTAATTTTTAAATATAAAAATATTCACATGAATAACACGATGAAGGTCGATACAGGGACGTATTGTATGTATCAAACTAAATAAGAATATTATATTATAGTAAATACCATATTGGTGACATTGTTCTTACGTCCCATGAATCGGAGGTATATTGTATTCGCATTACTCCTAGCGCTGTGTCAGCATTTCAAGGATATTTTCTGATATTCTAAATCATAACGGCACAATGCAACACATTACAAGATATATCTTCCTTCTAGGAATGCTTTCTAATGGAGGTACTGACACATGATTTCAAACCAGCAGTTAGATTAGGATGCATGGAAAAAAAGGTATGATTAGATCAAAACTGTTTGTATGTAGTTGCTTAAATCCAATTCATTTGTCTTTGATTGATATTTGTCTCATTGACAATCATACCACATCTTCTTTGTTTTTACATAAACATGTACAATTATTCCTAGATTTTCACCTGTATTAATATGTTATTATTCATAGTGGGTACAATATATAAATATGTTGTTTGAGTAATTGTCATCTTGACCTTTGAACTGTTGACCCCAAAATCAACATGTTGCTTTCAGTCCCTATAAATTCCATCTTTAGATCAATCTAATCAAGCAAGGGAAAAGCAAGCAGTAATTCGGAAAACATTTAACATAATGGTTAAGTTTCTTAAATATTATATTCATTTCAGTAACAGTAACCTTGAACTTTTACCTATTGACCTCCAAAATTATTAAATTTTTATCCTTTTCTATATCTTCAAGCTGTATAAGTTCCATTAATTTTCAATCATGGAACGTTAATATAGTTAAACCCATTTTTAAAAGTTATACTATTTAGCAACAGTGACTTTGACTGTTTGACCCTTTAATCAATAAGTTGCTTTCTCTTTCATACATGTACATCTTTCATCTGTATAACATTCATTTAAATCAATCAAGGAATATCTTAGTTATTATCCAGAAAACACCGGTTTCGAACACACGGAAAATACTCCTACTAACATGACTAACGGCTAAACAATTGAATGACAGGTACATGGATACATATTCTGAGGATAAGTTTCAGTTAATCGTTTAAGTATTGATTTGTTTTGTTTTATAGACATGTCAGAAATTCCATACCTCAGTGACTGATGTTTTCGGAAAGCGCCAGTCCTTCACACTTCAGGGGAGATGTTGTATTGGAGAAAAATGCAATTCAAACTTAACGTCAGCAATCAACCTAACACCTACTCAAACTTCAAGTCAGTACAACTCATTTCATTAGACACAGTATGATGAACTTAAATCTCTCAACGAATATTTAGTTCAATACGTGATCTTAACGACAATCAAATCCCCGTGGAAAACATTAATGACAGCGGATATAAATTCTTAGTTTGTTATTCTTTTAAATAAAGAACGAAACAGTGTTGCTATTTCAATTCAATAGCATATTTGCCAGTGAACAGTTTCAAAGACTATTGCTCCGATTTTAGCTTTGCATATCGTTTTCCCCTAACTTTTTATACTTATTTGTCAATGACTATTGGCGTTGCTTCGACTGTTGCATCGTAATGTGAGCACTGAAATATCGAAAACAGGAAATCAAGCCAAGCGTTATAACCTGATAGGTTCATGTTAGGGTTGTCGTCATTAGCTTAGTATGTTTTCAAATATACAATATTTACCAGGTGTAATGTTTAAGAAAAAAAACTCCCTCATAAAAGTGTTTCTTGAGAACTACAACGCAACAATGACATTAATCGTACAAATTTTACTATATATATATGCGCATTTCGACAATTAATGTCTTTTCAGTGATGCTCGAGGGCAAAATGTATGATATGGGTCTGTCGTCGTCTTCAACATCTGTGAATAGAGTAGTGCACGGTAAAATACTTTAAGTAGCCATTGATTGTATGCATAAAAACATAATAGAATCCAATCTGTAATTTAACCGGTTATGGTATTTTGTCAGACTGTGGATTTGCATAACGGACGATGCATGCATATCAGGAGATGCTTACCTATCCATACACCCCGTTTCCCTCCTTTTGGAATTCATTGGAATTGAATTCCCTTAAGTGTTTCTTATGAACATGTTTTCCTATTTGATTTATGAGATTTTAACATCTACTGTTGCCTTAAATGCATACAAATGATACGTAACGCTCGTACATTTTGACACTATATGGACTTCATTAGCAAGGAATGTGCTCCTTACAAAAAACTGCTCTAAAAGAGTTATTAAGAAGAAAGACTAAAAAACGACAAGGCTAAGGTTCTTCCCGTTTTGAATTTTCCTTGGAGTATTTTTTGTATTGTACTTTTTTCTGCATAAGTTTTATGGTCACCTTCACGACTTGGTTTCAACTCCCTAGCGACTTAGATCTTTAGATACCAGTAAAGTCTTCCACATTGTAATTTTACCGACTGTATCCTGATTGTGGCATTTTGAATAAGTGTGGATAAGAATGCCAGTTGATACATGCATTACAGGAGGCCCTTACAATTTCGACACTACCAGTCTCGCTCCTTTTAATGTTCATGTTAATCTCTCTGTCTTTATTTATAACCTTTAATGTGTCTTCCTATTCAATTTATGAGATTTGAACATCGATAAACTAATGACTCCCCAACTTGTATCTGTAGGTTGTAGTACGACTGTACGACAATGTCCTGTTGGATTTTATTTGTATGATAACATCTGTTACCATCTTGGAAATACATCGCTAGACAAAACTCATGCCAAGGTATGCACTAAACTCTATATTTAATTGATATAAGGAATTATAATGATCTAGATTTTATTGGTTTAAGTGATTTTTTTTCTTGTGTTACATTTGGAATTTAAGTGTCACATCATGTAAATTGTCAATATTCGATTTCAATATTCAAATTTTATTACATTAACATTTTTTATTCGTTTTGCAGAATTATTGTAGAAAGCAATGTTCCAACTTGGCTGAATTCGGTACTTTTACACCTGAACACATGAAACAGTTTTTCCAATATGCCAGTCGATTATTCCATATTAGTTCTGGAGAAGGTATTATTTAATTTATATCTATAACTTGCCTCTTTTTTGTTCACGAGTACGGTGCAAAGCCATTGGTTAACATTTTAATTTTAGTTCATTTATATGTTTTTGGAGTTTAGTGTGACGTCCATTTTCACTGAACTAGCACAAAATTTTATTTAGGGGCCAGCAGAGGACCACCTCCGGGTGCGGGATTTTCTCGTTGCATTGAAGACCCATTGGTGGCCTTCTGCAGTTGTCTGCTATTTGGTCGGGTTGTTGTCTCTTTGACATATTCCCCATTTCCATTCTCAGTTTTATTAAAACTTATAGATTTAATTTCGCATGCTTTTGTGCCATGAACAACCTGATTCAAAAAGAGACTATTTTCATAAGTATAATGTAGCGAAAATTACAATCTTAATGAAACATTTGCTAATATCTGTTCATTTAGTACTTTTATTATTATTTATTGCAATTCTGTTCTTCAGGAAAATGAGCAATTATTGGGTTGTGACAAGTAAATTTGAAAAAAAACTTATTACCATTGTTGTAATTTTCATTTACAAACCGTTTGTTAAAACCAATAGTTAATATACTTAAACAGATACTTTTACAGTCGAGATTCTATACTGTAGATGTCACAAATTGATACTGAAAAAGAGTATATGCATTTAAATATTACTTTCCGGATAACTCATCTCGTTTATAATAACTATGTTTGTATATTGTTGCCTTCGTCTAATCAAACATTTGAATGAAACAAATCCCAGTATTTTTGTTCAGGGAAAGTGAATTTCGATCAGGTCTTTCGGGAAATTTCGTCGGATTAGGTCGAAGTGTTGTCGGTTTTTAACGCATGAAGTTTGATTTCTCCATTAATACATTCTTTCATAAAACAAAACAAACAAATAATGTAAATGTTACCTACCTCTGCTGGTGGACTATCAGTCCCCGATTGTATCATCAGCTAAGTAGACAGTACATCGATACTGAAATGATTTGCAAAAAACCTTTCTAAAATTGCCCGTTTATAAATTTTGAACTTATTAAGACACTTGTGTTTCGACTCCCTTGGGCAAAGTTGATTGTATTTGGCTATTTGTTATGTCCTTATTTGTCATATAGATCTTCAACTGTTTCGGTTCTTATATTTCCTTGGCTTTCAAATATTCGGCTTTAAGCGTTCATGATGAAGGTTACGGACGCATGAAATTTAAAACGTGTTGCTTACATTTTTTCTAGACAAACACAGACTTCATGCTAAGGTTACACGTTATGTTTGTGTTATTATATACCAAGTGGTTTACATTTGTAATTAGTCAAAATATTTAACTGCATTTATGATCACAAATATGTTCCAATTGTCGTACCTACAATCCTGTCCTCTTTTCCTTGATTGTGACATCACCTAGTGATAATGAACATCCAGCTATGTTTACCTTACTGGATCACCTGATATCACTGCCAGGTTTTGTTGGGTTTTACATTGCCCAGTCTTTTTGCTATATGTAGAGTTAACTATACTTTTGTGTGCCTTGTCAATGTTTATAGGTTTTTAACCATGGTTTTGTCTGATTCTTTTTCACTTATAAGATTTGATTGTTCCGTTTGATTCCTTTTGCTTTTTACAGTCACAATTCATAATTGTCTTGGAAAAGGGCGTTGTGTTTAACAAGTTAGAATGGATAACACATATAAAAATTACATTTGTACAAATGGATGAAATACATGACCACAAAACACATTTGGTTTCTGTTTTGATGAAAATACAGATTTCGTTTAAAATTGTACTATTTACAACGGTTTTAAACATGCAGCGTCCATGTAGACGTAAGTTGCTACAACGTGTAAAATTGTCCGCTATATTTGTAGAATTTCAAGCTTACGTTGGAATAAAGGATGCCAATCAGTCCGGAAGTAGGCCGAAGTGGGTTTGGGAAGTAAGTGGTCAAACCATTGTACATGGAATGCAAACACGATTCAATCCTACTCATCATACATATTGTATGGTAGCCATTCATCGTACATACAGTTCTGACCACTCCTATATAGCAGGACTGGCGAATGTAGACTGTAGTAAACAGTACAAACCACTATGTCAAATCAAATTGTCCTAAAATTATACTGTTTAAAAGGATGCATAATAAAAGACAAGAACACATATTCATTTGGTATTGAAAATTTCGATAGAATTGTTTCACCTTTTACCATGCCAGAGCCTTGTATAGCCAACTATACGGTATGGGTTTTGCTCATTGTTGAAGACCATACAGTAACGTATAGTTGCGTACATTCCCTTCATTTTGAATCTGGTAGATACTTGTCAAGTTGGCATTATACTACATAATTATCTATATCTGAAACGGACCGAAAAACGAATGTCAATATTGTAGAAAAAGAGAGGCGAACGATACCAAAGGGACATTCAAACTCATAAGTCGAAAATAAACTGACAACGCCATGGGTAAAATAGAAAAAGACAAACAGACAAACAACATGTATACAAAACACAACATAGAAAACTTAAGACTGAGCCACACGAACCCCCTCCCCCCCCGCCAACACTGGGGGTGATTTCAGGAAGTCTGGAAGGGTAAGCAGATCCTGCTCCACATGTGGTACCCGTCGTGTTGCTCATGTTTGTACAAACCTGGTGATAAATCTAATTCGGAAGGTCACATTCGGGAAGAAGGGGACGGGATTGCTAGAAAGATAACCATATTACATATTAGCTCTGGGACAGTATTGCTACCTATCTACCAATATTATATAAAACATTTAAACAGAAAATACACAATTCGTTTTTATACTTGTTTACAGAGAAAGGGAAATTTGAAACTGATATTGTAATTTTCATTCAGTTTAAAAAAAAGAAGCTCTGAATAATATAAAAGTATGACTTCCAAGTTTTCATTACTTCATGTAAATACATCAAATTATTAGTTCTGAAGAGAAAGTTTAATTCTAATTAAATAAATCCTGTATTAGTATCTCTTAAACTTACTTGGTTTACCAAAAAAGTAAACAAATAATGGACAAACAGATGAATATCCAGGACGAGCGTTAAAGGACTCTGCAACTATGACTCAAAGAGAAATAAGTCCTTACTGAAGATAACAACGCACTGTCACAGGCAACAATAATTTGACGACGTTCAAATCTCATCAATCGATTAAAAAGACAAATCAAGGTAACAAAACAGAACTTTTGGAATCGCATGTACTGTCTACCTTAGGTCCTATCATTATGAAAAATCTAGGGGAATTGTAAAATCAAAAATTCTTCCACATACTGCAGCTATCAACCAACAAGAATATCAACAATCTCCTGGCTAGCAGGGATTTCGATATTTCATTTGCACACTGCAAACGCTATACAATTCAAATCAAAATAGACGATTTTGCGCTCCCTATTTTTTTCATTTTTAACGACAATGCACATTTGACCCCTTTCTACGGTGTTTATATTTCCATAGTCGATTGCTATACCCTTGTATATAGTAACGCTTTTGAATTTCAATGAATGAAGTCAGTGTATAACTTGTACTCGTATGAAGCAGAATTCATTCAGAACCTTTTAAAAGACAAAAAGAAAAAGCACCTTGCGAAATTCTTTAATTTTACTTTCCGATATATTGATGATGTTCTATCATTGAATAATCCATATTTCAGCCAATACTTACATCTCATATATCCCAGTGAACTTGAAATTAAGGATACTACTGATACTAGAAGGACTGCTTCATACCTTGATATTTTCCTCGATATTGACACAGATGGACGACTTCACACGAAAATCTATGATAAACGGGACGATTTCAACTTCTCAATTATCAATTTCCGATTTCTCAGCAGTAACATACCCTCTGCCCCTTCGTATGGTGTTTACATATCTCAATTGATACGTTATGCTCGTGCTTGTTCACACTATACGGACTTCATATACAGGAGTGTGCTCCTTACACAGAAACTGCTCCAACAAAGTTATGAGGAGGACAGATTAAAATTGACACTCCGTAAATTTTACGGACACCATCACGAATTGGTTAGTCCATACGATGTGTCTTTGTCCAAACTAACTAAGGACATTTTTACCACATGTTAGATTGTGGTTTGTCATTACGTCGTCTGATCTTTTAATTACCGAACGTGACTTATTCCCAATTGTGACTGTTTTGCTGAGTGTGAAACCGCATTGCTATAAGACGTGTCACGGTACCTTTCTATCCCAAATTCATGTATTTAATTTTGATGTTATATTTGTTATTCTCGTCGGATTTTGTCAAATGTCTTAACGTCTTTTCTGTTATATTCGTGTGTTATGGTAAAGATAATTAATCACCCCCTTCATTTATTAGATTTTAGTTTGGTTCAACGAAATTTATACGATATATTTGGTTTACAGTTTGATTCAGAAGAAACACCGACATAGCTAGATAATACAATTAATTATCTAATTACTACCACAATTTGATATTAATAAGTATTGTAATTTTCATTGTTATTAATAAATGCAATGTCAGTATTACAAATCTAATCTTGAATCAATCCTAATCATATCTTGTTTTTGGGAAATATTTTTACAAATTCAAATGTGACGTCACTTTGTGTTTTTTTTTTTTAGAATTTCAAATGTGACGTCACTTTGTGCGTTGATGCTTTGGCTAACTCGGCTGTGTATTTTTATATGTTGGATTTAGTTGTTTTATGTAATGTATCCGTTTTTATTCTGTAGTTAGTCCCCACTTCGGTTTTATCATGTATATCTATTATATAGTCATGAACCTGGTTTTGTGGCATGCCAAACCTCCCGCTTTAATGGCAACGTCAAACACAACACCAAAACGACAACAACACATGACAGGACCACAATACAAATAAATGGGAGATCTGTGTGTGTTACATTTTAATGTTGTGTTATTGTTGTGTCGTTGTTCTCCTCTTATATTTTGATGCGTTTCCCTCAGTTTTAGTTTGTAACCCAGATTTGTTTTTATCTCTATCGATTTATGAGTTTCGAACAGCGGTATACTACTGTTCCCTTTATTTGTAAATTATTAAATTAGGGATTTCGTTACCAGAATGTAATATAACTCTAAACCTTTAAAAAAATTACTTCTGAAATACAAAGATTTTGTTTTTATCTCTATCGATTTATGAGTTTCGAACAGCGGTATACTACTGTTGCCTTTATTTGTAAGTTATTAAATTAGGGATTTCGTTACCAGAATGTAATATAACTCTAAACCTTTAAAAAGATTACTTCTGAAATACAAAGATTTTGTTTGGAAGTCGTATATGTAGACAACTTATAACTACATTTAATAGGATATATCAATCCTAGTTTTACGGTGATAGTTTAGAAAGCTCGTAATTACAGGAACGATTCATGTTAACTAATGGATCAGCTAGTGTAGTAAGAAGATCTTTGAATATTGTTACTAATGTTTCTGTAGGAACTAAACTGTGTAGAATTTCATTAGTTGTATTCAATATGGTATAGTGTCTTTAATCACATACATGTTGAAACTGAAATAACGAAAATACCGAACTTCAAGGAAAATTAAAAACGGAAAGTCCCTTATCAAATGGCAAAATCGTAAGCTCAAACACATCAAACGAATGGAAAACAACTGTCGTATTCCCGACTTAGTACAGGAATTTCCTTATGTAGAAAATGATGGATTTAACCTGGTTTTATAGCTAGCTAAACCTCTCATTTGTATGACAGTCGCAGTTCCATTATGTTGACATCAATGTGTGAGCAAAACAAACAGACACAATAGGTAAAAATGTCAAATTGGGGTATAATAGCAGTCAACATTGTGTTATAAATCTTAATCACTATAAAAACAAACAACTATGTCATCAAAGAAAAATAAAATGGCACATAGACAAAGCACAAAAGCAAAAATGAAAGACAAGAATACCAAACAAAAAACCTTAGCACAATAACACAATTAATGACGGGATGTATAAATACCAAGCCACGCCAAAATGATATATTACCAAAATGGACTTTACCGTACAGGTTAAATATATACAAAGACAAATAAAAAGAACACTATAACACGTAATGACGATGATAAATAGCGTCAGTACCTAAAATCTACACTTCAAGACCATCATGTATTATTTGTGAAGTTGATATGGAATATTTATCAACAAGGTCTTGGTATCTCCCGATGAACTTTTTTAAGTAAAAGGACGTGACTTAACTCTGGTTCATCAACTTTCTGGTCAGACACTGGTGACGTTTTATAAAGTCTGAGTAGCAGCTGCAAGTATATCCCATATGCAGGTGAAGTTGGTATATTGCTGCTAAGGTGGATGGAATTTATAATAACTAATTCTGGTATAGAGATGGGTGACTGCTTATGTCAAATTAGAGGTATAAGTCTAAAAATGAGGAGGAAGAAACCGTGTCTGTTGTTTCTTTAAATTCTAGTTCCGGTGAATATATTAATGGAACCCAATCAGAAAAAAATGAGACAATGTCTAATTTTGTTTGCAAAGTACTCCCGTCTTCAAATCCAATGTGCCAACTCAATTTGGAGAGGGTTGGGTATGTTTAATTATATGGTTTTTACCTATTATGTCTGTTTGTTTTGCTCACACATGGTTGTCAATATAATGGAATTCAATACGACTGTCATACAAGTGAGAGGTTTAGCTAGCTATAAAATCAGGTTTAATCCACCATTTTCTAAATAAGGAAATGCCTCATTATTACCTTGCCTTGCATCTCCTGTCGGGTATGTTTCTCTATTTCATCTCTCATGCGTGTCATCCAGTGGCGGATTCAAGGGGGAGGGGGTTCCGGGGGTTTGAACCCTCCCTTTTTTGGACGATCAATGCATTTCAATGGGGACATATGGTTGGAAACCCCCCCCCCCCTTTTGAAAATGGCTGGATCCACCCTTGTCATCATGTAAAAGTTTTAGTTTCTTCGTCAAAATTTATAGTTGGTGTTTGTAGATTTTTACCGGTTGTCAACATAGATGTGTTAATTCCTCCTAACAAATTAAAGTGTATCTGTTATGAATAATGCTAAATGATCTGTTCCTAATGAAACAAATATTCCATTCCCTTTGATCTATAAGGAACAATTACTTTAATATGTCGTCCAGTAGAAATAATATTCCAGAACATATCTTCCATTTGGAAT